TCATGGGCTTGCAGGAGGCAGAGACGCCACTTTCGGACATGTAAAATAACTTAGCTAGTGAGCCCTATTGGCTTTTATAGTCACCGGGCGTAATAAACTTTTGGTTTGGTATTAGTAAGTTGGCATATAAACCACTATACCCTATTACCAGGTACGGATTCGTATTTTTGGTCAAGTCAGAAGGGGGCTGGGACAGACCAGCAAGAAAACATCAGACAAAAATCCTTTTGTGTGCTAATGGTCATTACCACAGCTAGCAAAGCCATATAAATATTGAACCCGTAATTTTTCGACTTGAATCCTTTTTTCCCTACATTACTGTGGCAATGTACGAAATCACCATCTTGTATTCCGTGGCCTGTGGTACCTTGCTTTCCTTACTGGCTCTGCGCCTTCCGATTTACCATTTCACACGGGCTTATTGTCCGTTTGCGCTGAAATATGTCCTCCTACCTTTCAATACAATAGGCAAAGTACTTAGCGTCTGACTACTTGGTCTACCCAACTGTGGAGCGCGGCGGCAAATGTCTTGATCGTTGGAGTCGTAGCGATGTTGTGTTGCTTTTAGCGTACGTTGGGGCCACTATTTCATTTATCATAGCCCCCCCACCTGGATCAGGCTATTCTTCGATCTGGCACTCTCTCCGTCGTCAACTTTATCTTCTGCTTTGCAGGCCCATGCCTTGGTTTTCTCGCAGATATCCTTGGCTTGTCGCTCCGATCCTGCCGGCGCCTTCACGCTTTAGCGGTGGTCCTCGCAGTGGCTCTTACAGTCTTCCATGCCGCCGCAGCTGGCGCAGCAAAGGGAAGGCTGGACCTGCACACACCGAAAGATGTGTTTGCCTTGGTAGTATGTTGCTTTGCCCAAGTATGGCCAACTTCTAACAATAAAATTGATAGTCCATTCTATGTCTGTGCGCGCAGGTAATACACTTGGCACTGCGAAGCGTCTGGTACAAAGTCGCCCTGCGCACCCACCAAATACTTTCGTTCGCCTTCGTGTACGGTCTGTGGCGACATGCCTCGTCCGCCGATCTGTTTCCGCGCTTGTACCTGTACGTGGCGGAGCTCTATTCTCTACGACCTCTATCTTCTGGCTCGCCAGCATCTCATTTCGGAATAGGTCAGGGCTCTGGACGGCATGAATAACATACGACAATGGCGCAATCAAAGTAAGCCTGCAGTTGTCGAAGCCGCTGCAGGTGAAAGTTGGACAAACGCAAGCCTTTGGGTTCCGTGGGCCAGTCTGGGGTCGGCTGCACAGACACATCCTTTCACTGTGATATCTTGGTCCGAAAAGCTGCAGAAGCATCTCGACCTGTTTATCGAGCCTCGCGGCGGCTTCACCAAAGATCTGTTCGCTCTATCGGACCGCGGCCCTGCCACACGCCGGGCAATGTTCAACGGGCCGTATGGAAAAAATTACCAGTACATTTATATGAAAATGTTGTTATGCTGGCCACCGGATTTGGCATTGCTGGTCACCTACCGTATCTGCGGAAGCTGATCCACGATCAAAACAGTCGCTCAATTTTAACTTGCAGAATCCATCTTGTATGGCAAATAGATGAGACAGTTGAGAAATACCAAGGTGGATGTGGTATGCGCCTGCTGACCTTTCCAAGGCGTCGGAATCGCCGCTCAGAAATTGCTAAACGAAGCGCTCGACGAAGACAAGCTTGACGGAGAATATGTACGTAGCCCATGCAGCCAGTGACTGATATGCTAATCTGTCTATTAGAATCTCCGCATCTCAATCTATATCAATTCAGAGAATATAGTTGAGGTAAAATTCGGCGACAGAGCCACCGCATATTCCGGTGAAATACTTCTTGCGAATGTTGTCTCGTCGGAGCTGCGAGAACGACGACCAGGGAGCAAGACAGTCATATCAGGTGCGTTGCTTTTTTCCATCCTGGCAAAACTAATATTCTTGCAGTATTTGCGAAGTGCTTTATTCGCGATGCGCTGAACGATCTGTTGTGGCAGATTCGGCGCAGCAATATAGACATCATGTACACTGACTATTAGCCATGACGCATCAATGCGCTACGCCAGATCGTGAAGTTGGCTCTGTGAACCGTATGTATTTTGAATTCTATTGTCTGTAAAGTTGTTCTCTCTTTTCGTCCTCAGGCGTTTGTATCGAAAACCAACAGCAAATCGCGTTCGGGCGGGAGAATTCACTCAACCCAGACGGACTCTTTGCCAATGAAGACCAAAAACGGGTTTTAAAGTTATAAAATTGCATCTAGACTTACATCTCGTCTCTTCTCGGGTGAACTGTAAATCCTCGATTACACCAAATGAGCACCAGTAACACCAGCCCCACCAGCCATTCCCTACCAAGTCTCCTCGAGTCAAGTTTGAAATGGCCAATGCGTTTTGTAACTCGGTTTCGTCGCCGGTATTCGATTCTGTATTTCTCCAGGGTTGCAGCCACGCTGCCCTTGGAAAAGTTTTATGAGTCTCTTAACATATTTTTGCCTGGTCCTCTGGAGTATGGGAAGCCCAGGTTGTCGAGTCTGATATTGACAGCTCCAATGTATTTTGACGACTTCTCTTGCCGGATCCGACGCGATTAGGCTACAGATCTAGTTCTCATCATAGTCGAACAGAAACTGCGGAGGGTGCTAGAAAACCAGTACATGGGCTATGAGCGGCAGGGCGGGGGGCGGTGATTTTAAAGCTACCGCCTACTCGTAGGGCTGCATCGCAACAGCGCTTACAGCCTAGCCACATATACTGGTGTTCTGCTGCCATCAGCGGCCAGTTCAAGCGGCTTACCCGATAAAACGCCTTCTAAACGTGACAATTACAAAAGCAAGATTGATTTCGCAGCTGCGCTACAGCACGATGGTATCCAGTGGCCATCTTTTAAGGTCATTAATAGTAGGTTTATAAACGAAGATTTTTAGATGGAAATAGCCGTGGATGAAATGATCCGTTAGTGATCGAGGCTACGAGCACCGCTGGCCTACCAGGGCTATCGCAAAGTGGAGGATGGACTTGTAGAGCCAGCCTCTGAGCGAGGATGTCCTCCTAAGGGGTGTCCCACATCGGGCTCTGCTGCCGAAGGGCCACTGCGACAGCGCAGTTTGAACAGCCCTGCCACGAGACCGTCCTTCGTGGCACCGCGCCTGTGGGAGGACATCCTTGTTCATCAGTCAAAAGAGCTATGGTCCAGGCGACAGTGTGCACAACCACGATTAATCTGTGCTATCATTATCCCGGAAACGATGGCAATGGCAGATACATTCACAAGCGGCGCCAAATCCGTCCTTTCTTCAGACACTGCAAGCGCTCACCCAGGGCAGTCTACGTCCTGCCCGTCGTCAATTCAGGGTCACGTTCCAATATCTGAAGATGCCCGAAGCAGAGTTTACTTCGCAAGTAAGTTCACATTCACCGCATCCCGGCATCCCAACTGGCGCAAAAGTCTAACAGCGACAAATTTCCTCTCAAGAAACGGAAACAATGTGCATAAAATTCAAGCTTTTAGTAGACGGGGAGTGGAGTACGCAGCGGAGTGCAGAGTCGTCGGCCGTGCAACGGCTGGCGGCCAAGTATATGCGGAACGGGATGGGAATTTGTGATAGCGAGAATCAAATGCTCCGTCCGCAGAACTGCTTCGTGCGAGTGACAGGCGATGGAACACGGACTATTCATCTAGTACCAGGGTTGACTGCCATAAAGGAAAGAGAAGCGACATGGCGACCGCGAAAACGCAATCGAATTCATTAAAAAAGCTCCGCCTGCAAGGACAGCCTCCTTGCTGTGCCGATCTGCCTCTACCGACACGGACGACGCTTTTTTGATTGTCTATTTTTCCCTCCTTTTTTCCTTTCCCTCCCCTTCTGAAGCAAAAGAGAATTCAACCCCATATGCAGGCCGGCCTTGTTGTTTCTCAACAAGCCCTCAACTCCGCAGACTCCAGACCCTCGGAATGAACGACAACGGCTGGGACCGCCACCCTTCTTGACATGTGCCACTAAGAATGGGGGGTTTCAGTGTCCACTGGGTGCCACGTCTTTTATATGCTAGGGCCAGGATGAATATAGTGCTCTTTGACTGGTGCTAGGAGCGTATGGTGCCGGCCAGTGTGTACCATGCAGTGCATGACAGCACCTAAACTCGCTGGGACTTTGGGTGTTCTGGCAACTGTGGGCTGGGTTGTAGTGCGTGATGGGGTCCAACGTATCAGCACCTGGAGGAGCATAGGCATCCGCTGGTGGACATCGAAGCTGGTGGATGACTGCATTGTTGGAAGTCCAGCCTGCCAAGGCTATCGCACGGCGGGGGAGGGACATCTAGGGACAGGCTCTAAGTGAGGATGTCCTCACCAGGCGCTGTCCTCTTTGACGGCTGCTCCTCAGCAAAGGGTAAGCCGTTGGAACGCGCGCTCCCGGGCCAGCCACTTGCCTAAAGAGCCAGAAATAGCGGTTATGTGTCCCCCACCTTGTAGCTAAAACTCACTAAAAGCGCTAGCGACATCCATAACGGTTTTTACGGTACCTGAGTGAGGTTTACTTACGGG